CGATTAGTCGACTTTACTTTATAAAGTGAGCAAACCTGTTGCTTTTAAAGCGATTAGTCGACTTTACTTTATAAAGTGAGTAAATCTGTTGCTTTTAAAGCGATTAATCGACTTTACTTTATAAAAGTGAGTAAACCTGTTGCTTTTAAAGCGATTAGTCGACTTTACTTTATAAAGTGAGTAAACCTGTTGCTTTTAAAGCGATTAGTCGACTTAACTTTATAAAGTGAGTAAACCTGTTGCTTTTAAAGCGATTAGTCGACTTTACTTTATAAAGTGAGTAAACCTGTTGCTTTTAAAGCGATTAGTTGACTTTACTTTATAAAGTGAGTAAATCTGTTGCTTTTAAAGCGATTAATCGACTTTACTTTATAAAAGTGAGTAAATCTGTTGCTTTTAAAGCGATTAATCGACTTTACTTTATAAAAGTGAGTAAACCTGTTGCTTTTAAAGCGATTAGTCGACTTTACTTTATAAAGTGAGTATACCTGTTGCTTTTAAAGCGATTAGTCGACTTTACTTTATAAAGTGAGTAAACCTGTTGCTTTTAAAGCGATTAGTCGACTTTACTTTATAAACTGAGTAAACCTGTTGCCTTTAAAGCGATTAGTCGACTTTACTTTATAAAGTGAGTAAACCTGTTGCTTTTAAAGCGATTAGTCGACTTTACTTTATAAAGTGAGTAAACCTGTTGCTTTTAAAGCGATTAGTCGACTTTACTTTATAAAGTGAGTAAACCTGTTGCTTCTAAAGCGATTAGTCGACTTTACTTTATAAAAGTGAGTAAACCTGTTGCTTTTAAAGCGATTAGTCGACTTTACTTTATAAAGTGAGTAAACCTGTTGCTTTTAAAGCGATTAGTCGACTTTACTTTATAAAGTGAGTAAACCTGTTGCTATTAAAGCGATTAGTCGACTTTACTTTATAAAGTGAGTAAACCTGTTGCTTTTAAAGCGATTAGTCGACTTTACTTTATAAAGTGAGTAAATCTGTTGCTTTTAAAGCGATTAGTCGACTTTACTTTATAAAGTGAGTAAACCTGTTGCTTTTAAAGCGATTAGTCGACTTTACTTTATAAAAGTGAGTAAACCTGTTGCTTTTAAAGCGATTAGTCGACTTTACTTTATAAAGTGAGTAAACCTGTTGCTTTTAAAGCGATTAGTTGACTTTACTTTATAAAAGTGAGTAAACCTGTTGCTTTTAAAGCGATTAGTTGACTTTACTTTATAAAGTGAGTAAATCTGTTGCTTTTAAAGCGATTAGTCGACTTTACTTTATAAAGTGAGTAAACCTGTTGCTTTTAAAGCGATTAGTTGACTTTACTTTATAAAGTGAGTAAATCTGTTGCTTTTAAAGCGATTATTCGACTTTACCTTATAAAGTGAGTAAATCTGTTGCTTTTAAAGCGATTAGTCGACTTTACTTTATAAAGTGAGTAAATCTGTTGCTTTTAAAGCGATTAGTCGACTTTACTTTATAAAGTGAGTAAACCTGTTGCTGTTAAAGTGATATAATCAGTGTGTGTGTGTATGTCTGTGTTTCAGCTGGGTGCTGGTGTGAGTTTGCCCGGTGTTGTGTCTGCACTTTGCGGTGCTGCTGTGATTCTGTCAGACAGCGCTGAACTGCCGCTCTGCCTGGAGAACTGCAGGCGCTCATGTGTCCTCAACAACCTCTCTCATGTACATGTGCTGGGGCTCACCTGGGGACGGGCCTCACCTGAGCTTCTCTCGCTGCCTCCTCTGGACCTTATCCTGGGCTCAGATGTGTTTTATGAGCCTGAAGGTCTGCTGTTTGTTTCATCTTTAATCCTCTGTTTATATCAGTGTGATACGAGTTTCTAAATGCTGAAAACTTTGCTTTTTGGGCAGATTTTGAAGACGTGCTCGTGACCGTCAGCTTTATTTTGAGGAGGAACCCTCATGCTCAATTCTGGACCACTTACCAGGAGAGAAGGTGATTCAACAAATGTGCATTATCATTATTTTTTTTATTATTAGTTGCAATAGATTAAAATGATTCTGCATACATAATTATTAATCATCAAAGATGCCTAATTAAATACGGATGCTGTTTTTATTTCTGCTGTTGCAGTGCTGATTGGTCCATAGAGGCCTTGTTGCACAAGTGGGATCTGAAGTGCATTAATGTTCCACTGGAAACTTTTGAGGCAAACAAAACCCATCTGGCTGGATCAACACTGCCTGGAAATCACACTGTACAGATGATGATCATTACAAGCAACCGGATTTAACGTGTGTGTAAATACATACACATACATGTTTCTTTAACGTTATATATAATGTAAATACCTTTTTCCACATCTTTTTAACTTCATCTCATTAGTATAAATAATTAGTATTTTTTTTATATTGCAGTATTTCGCATTAAATAATTTTTCTATTTCTAACTGAATCTCCCCTGGATTTTCTGAATAACTCTAATAATTATCGATTATCAATAACTATAAAATATATATACACATACATGTGTATATATACACACACACACACACATGCATATATATATATATATATATATATATATATATATATATATATATATATATATATATATATATATATATATACAGTTAAAGTCAGAATTATTAGGTCCCCTGAATTATTAGCGCCCTGTTTAATTTCCAGAACAGGTGTGTATGAGGTGCATGACTGGATATGTAGTCCATAAAATTCCAGATTTGTAGTCTTTAGCGATCTGCGTGTTTGCCAGCAATCTGCTAGGATTAGATTGCTGGGCCCGGTTTTTCAAAAGGTTTAATCCGGATAAAATTGATCCAGATTTAGTAATCCTGTTTTTGCGATCCGTGATCACGTAATCCAGCTTACTTTTTGAGCCAGTTTTTCAAAGCAACATTGGATTGGATCAATCTGATCCGGATAGGAACTTTAGAATCACTAAATCTGGATAACCAGTGCTCAAACACAATGTAGATGGATAAATAGGCCTATGTAAAGAGCAACAAGTAGAATAGCCAGGGTGGGGTCAATATAACTTTTTTTTTTTTTTTTTTAATGAAAACACACACATTAAAAAAAATTAAATAAAAAAAATAAAAACCTTACCCCATCCTCTTCCAGCAGTCGGCTCATCTGAGACCTAAAACACTGTACATTAAGTATATTTATAATAAGTTTTAAATATAGATGTAAATAAAAAAGGCTTAATGTCAAAAACTCCACAATAAGTTCAGACTTCCTCATCTGATGTGGAGAGACCAGTTGTCTGAGCAAAGCCTTTAGGAGGCGAATCTCAAGTCTGGCCTTGGTTTGCTGCAGTTTAGTCAGAGTCAGTTGTTCCTTTGCCAGATGAAGCTGTGCTTCTGCACTTTCAGTCTCTTTTTGCAATTGTTGAAAGAGATTTCAAAAATCAGTGATTGCCATTCTTTGCATTTTTAATCATTGCATGCATCACTAATAAATATTCTAAAAAGAAAAATAGTTTCCATTGTGATGAATATATATATCTATATCTATCTATCTATCTATATATATATATATATATATATATATATATATATATATATATATATATATATATATATATATATATATATATATATATATATATATATATATATATATACATATATCTAAACTGTTTGGTGTATTATTTTATGAGGGCAAGCTATTTCTACTTTGCTGAAAGGCTATACTGAAAGGCTGAATCTTTTAAAGTCAATAATCACTATAGCCTGACGAATGAGCGAATAAGATAGAAAACTTATGAATAAATAGGATATCTCGTAAGATACTGCATGATCCAAAAATAATATTATTTAATAAATT